AAAACCAAGAGTAATAGTCAACACAAGACTCAAACACTCTCAATAAGAACACGGAACATCCCAAGACTACAAAGAACAACAACGACTCACAAAGAAGTCTCAAGGTATAATCTATCATCACACAATAGATTAGTACCCGACATGCATAACTCAAAGGAATAAGACACAACAAACGGCAACACATGCCTTTGTGACTACACACATCACAAGATGAGAACTCACAACAACGGCTACACAAGCCCTCGTGATATCACCCATCACGAGTTGATATGCCTTCCTTATGCCCGGTTCCAACGTTATGGTTACCCAACCTTATATCTTCTTCCAACCATTACCTCCAGGACCCCTGTACACCAAGTCCAACCTTTTCCCTCCGAGTACCGTCGTCCCCATCCGCCAACGACGCCAACAAAACCACCGATTTCATAGTACACGAGGGTACCGTTCACACACATGGAAACACATGCCTCTCCCAAAATACGTGAACCTGACACACAGGTCACAACTCCATAATTACGTCATGGCCACCATGAGGACCACTGCAATACCTTGGTGACTAGTGTCCCATACCACTAATTGTGCAATCCAGGTAAAGCCACACACGCATCACACCACAACAGGAATCAATCAACGGATCACAACGAAGATATGAAACCATACTCAATCAAGGAATGGGTTACTGCCCAACAACAACAATGATGAATAACATAAGTTATCATCAACCAATAAGAAGGTACAAACAACACACATGCTAGCATTTAAACACCGAACTAGCATGCTTATCAAACGGGTAAACCAAACGTAGTTCCGAAGAACACACAAGACTCATCACGGTTCAACGAATCACAATGTTGAACACTTAGCACGATTCAAGACACCAAAACCTACATGGATTCCTACCATATAATTCTAGACATATGAAACATCAAGAAGACGCTCAAATAGTTCCACAAAAGAACATCGGGAAGTCAAAAGACCAAATACCGAGTCAAAAGAATCACGGGGAACAAATCCCCGCACAACCAACATATGTACCCCACAGGTGGGCCCACGGGTGGACCCCCACCAAACCACGTTCTCCGCGGGTGGGGCGGCGGGTAGGCCACTGCTCGCCGTTCCGCCCGCGAGTACACCACCTGTACAAAAATAATCCCTTTGGGATTTTCAACACCAAGCTCAATTTCAAGTCCAAAACATGTCAAATCTCACCAAACACAACAAAATGACTTGAATCAAAGGAATAGCCAAGCAATGGCATACAAGAACCCTAAACACAAGCTCTAGATATGCATTTTCACAAGACAATGCATAAACACTCACATTTCATAGCAAACCACATGTAGAATCCAAGAAATATTCATATAGGTAAGCAAAATAGATTTTGTAGAGCATGGGTTTACCTCTTGTAGACCAAAAAACCATCACTTAACACCACACCAAGCTCCTATCAAAGCTCACATTCCAAACCCACTTCAAGAACATACCAAAAGATCATAAAGATTCTATCTTTAAGAAAAGACACCTAAGAAAATACTAAAAAGACAAGTTGAACATGGATCTTACCCTCCTATATGCCCAAATGTATGAAAGCTAGAATCTTGGAGACAACTCTTGAAGTCTAGATAAAGCTTCAACTTGGCTTGGAAGAAAAGCTACCCACCTTTTTAGAGAGAAGGTGGAGCTAGGATTTTGGAAAGTGTAAGGATAGAAATGAGGATGTTCTTACTAGGTTAGGTTATAATACTAACACAAGGTGAAAGGTCAAGCATACCCTTACTAACATGGAAAGGTGTAAGGAACAAGGGAACTCCTTACAAAGCTCAAGGTACAACTTTGACTATGGGGTTGACTAGTCAATTACTAGTCCCCGACTATTGAATTTTCAGGAATTTAAGGAATTAAATTACAAATTGAAATAGGAGTAGTTACTTAATTAATCCCTTAAACGAATTTTGGATTTCGGGGTGTCACATTGATCTTGATAATCTTGATGATTATGAGAGGATCTTGATAATTGTGTTTTGATCTTGATAATCTTGATGTTCTTGATTTTAAAGAAAAATTATGATCTTGTGCTTTAAATATGATTAGAGCCCTAGGTTAAATCGAGGATTTCGTATTGTGATGTTCTTGTATATTTGGGTGAGATTTTGCAGGTTCGGGTATTGAGTCTTGTTTACGTTTAGAAGTCATGTTAGGATGTATTTAATGTGATTCTTGGTTTTAACCCATTACTTGATTACGTGGTGTTATCGTTTGTGTTTAAATGTGTCTGGACATGGTTTCGGGTTCCATGAATGATCCGGGACCAATTTATTACGGAAGAGTCAATGGGGGGTAAGTGGGGGTAGGGGAACCCGCCACCTTACGAAACCAGCGGGCAGCCGGCGGGCAAGCGACTGCCTGCCGGGCACTCGCTGCCTTATGCGTGCCGCCGGCGGGTGGAGGACCACCCGCTGGTTTTCCTAGTGTGGACTTTGTGGTTTTCCCCGTTTGATATTTTCCCGTGTTCCGTGGTGTCCCATTGGACCCCGTTTGTCGTGCCTAAGTCTAGTTTGATGTATCGGGTACCGTTCATAGGATAAAAGAGTCTTATGTATTGCATGCTAGTTGAATTGGTAACCCGTTGGCCTATGTGAAAGATGTATGAACCCCTTAGGAATATTCTTAGTATTTGGTTGACCACGCATAAGTTTTATATACACGTTTTCCCCCATCCCTATGTGCTAATGTGGGTTGCATGTGCTTGCTATGTGTTATGTGTGCATGATACCCCAATTGGTTGCGATCAATTGGTTATACGGGCAGTTGGATGGGTTGAGAACCATCGGTTGTTAACCAGGCCGGTTGCGATCGGTCAGGTATATAAATATGTATAGGGTTGCGGTCCACCATTTGGTTGTGATCAAACATTATAAATGAGTTGCGGTTCATAATCTGGTTGCGATCAGAAATACACACTATTTGGGCTGCGGTCCAACGTTTGGTTGCGATCAAATGTTATAAATGAGCTGCGGTTCATCGGATGGTTGCGATCAACCCCATCATGCTGCGTTACGGGGCAGGGTGCTTCAGGGCCGTGTTAGCGCTATATGCGTTGACCCTCATGTATGGGCATGCGATTGGTCCTGCGGCACCACCATAGTGTGCTTGTGTGTTGAGATAATGATTGAATACTGATATGTTTGATGTGGTATAATCTCGTGACCTTAGGGAGCATGCTAGTATATTTGGCTTTCAGGCACAGATGAGTAGCTCCGGAGCGTGCTAGAGGACCCGAGGCTTAGATAGTTTGTTTCCTGATCGGCCTGCATGCCATGATGATGTAATGACACTGTTTTAGGGATAAGGGTTCATGGTCCATAGTGGACCATATTAATTAATTAAAGAGAATCCTAATCATAATCTGAATAGCAAAAGGCCTACTTCCTTTATTCCTAATAGGCTTAAGACTCTAATTTAGGCAAGGGTCCACGGTTCATGGTGGACCTTATTAATTAATTAAAGGGAAACCTAACCGGATTAAATCATATTTAATTATTATTAACGGGATTAATTAAACAATTAATCCGGGATTGAAGGCCGTAACACGGGGTGTTACATCTACCTATATTGTATTTTAACGCGTTGGAGTGGGTTACCAGCATTATTCGCTGAACAGATATATTTGGCTTTCAGGCACAGATGAGTAGCCCCGGAGCGTGCTAGAGGACCCGAGGCTTAGATAGTTAGTTTCCTTATCGGCTTGCATGCCATGATGATGTAATGACACTGTTTTGAGGATATTTAAATAGTGTAGCCTGTGCATCTGAGTTCCCCAGCTCAGATGTGGCATAACTCCCCAAACACTTATGTTTAGTAATGCTCTGTTTCGGGATTAATGATAGTATTGCCTTTATTTCATAAGTATTCAAAGTTTTAAATTTTAGGGTGTTACACCAATGCTCTATGGCAACAAATGAATGTTTTAAGATCTTTACTCATGTATGACTGTACACCTAGCTGTTCGTGCACTCTCATGATTAGAATGCAAAAGCAGAGGGAAGAAGATTACATAATCAGGTTTTTGGAAGGCTTGAATGAAGACTATGAGACTATCAAGTCTGGAATTCTGGTTATGGACCCCATTCCAGATATGGAAAAGGTGTTGAATATGGCCCTGAAGCTTGAAAGAAAAATTAGGGGATCAATGATGTTAAAATGCAATGAAATTAATCAGTCCAATGCAGTTTTCAACAATCAGAATCAGGCTGAATCTGAAGAATCTGTTGTGGCAGTCACAGCATCAAACAATAGAAGGAAATTCACTAATAATGGAGGCAAGAATGTGCCTAAATGCACATTTTGTGGCATGCTTGGTCACACAATTGAGAAATTCTACAAGAAGCATGAGTACCCTCCGAGATGGGTTGCAGGCTACAAATCCAAAAATAAACATTCCAAGAAACACATCAGTCATCAAATGTTTCTGTGAGCCAAATAAATGACATATGTATGTCTACTGATCAATTCCAAAAGCTGTTATCTCTTTTGCAGAACCAGAGCCATGGAAATCAAGGCTCAAGTAGTGTAGCTGTGACAGTCACCACCCCTGGGATCAGATTAGACTTCAAAAGCTCTGCAGAAGTGCATGATGAAGGTATTTTTAATCATGACATCCTTGTTAATATTGTTCACAATTCACATATAGCATGGATACTGGACTCAGGGGCAATAGACCATATAATTTGTTCATTGGACTATTTTGAACAATGTTCTGAGGTTCAGGGATTATCTGTTAAATTACCAAATGGTGAAACTATAAATGTGACACACATAGGGAAAATCAGGCTTGGCAAGGACATATTGTTGACAAATGTGTTGTATATTTCATCCTTTTCCTTCAGTATTATTTCTGCTAGCAAATTAACCAAGCAGTCCGGATGCAAACTTGTGATAGAAGCTGATTCTTGAACTGTCCAGGGACATCTTGGAACAATGGCTGGTTTTGCTAGTGAGAGGAATGGTCTATACCTAATTACTGATCCTCCTGCCAAGAAGAAGCCAGTCAATGACTGAGAATAATGTTCAATGTAACAGTTTCACTATGGAACTTTGGCACAAAAGATTAGGACACTATCCTAGCAATAAAATTCCTATGTTGAATGGAATAAAGATTGATTCTAATAAGAAACTTGGTGATTTTGTATGTGATGCCTGTCATTTTGCTAAACACAAAAGGTCCACCTTCCCAGTTAGCATTTCCAGAACTGATCATTGTTTTGAGCTAATACATATGGATGTATGGGGCCCTTTGCTGTGGCATCTCTTCATTGATGATCACAGTAGATTTACTTGGTTGCATATGATGAAAAGTAAGTATGAAGTTAAGTCTATTTTCCAGAATTTCTACAATTTTGTGTGCACTCAATTTTCTGCTAAGATCAAAACTGTGAGAACTGATAATGGAACTGAGTTCCTATGCATTCCTTTTATAATGAGAAGGGAATTGTCCATCAGAAATCCTATGTTTACACACCCCCGTAAAATGGGGTGGCAGAAAGGAAGCATCAACATATCCTAAATGTGGCTTAGGGCTTTGAGATTTCTATCTGGTTTGCCTATGGAATTCTGGGACCATTGTGTTCTATATGTCTCTTATCTTATTAACAGGCTGCCCACTGAGGTGCTTAATGGAAATACTCCTTCCAAGGTGTTAACAGGGAAAAATATAGATTATGGCCAACTCAGAATTTTTGGCTGTTTGAGTTTTGGTACTACTGTTTCACAGTGAAGAAATAAAATGCAATCAAGAGCAAGGAAATGTCTTTTTCTGGGATTTCTAGCCAATGTGAAAGGTTTTATCTTATTTGATCTTGATGATAAAACTACTTTTGTGATAATGATGAGCTCAATCCATCCCTTCCCATGATTCCTATTTCTGCTGATGCATAGACACCTTCCTGGCAGACCATGAGAAGAAATGAAAATACTAGAGTTATGACAGATGCCATTAACAGAAGAACAGATGAGATTGAGAATTGCCATGACAGAAATTTTGACTATAATGCTGAGCCAATTAATCAGGCAGCCACTGATAGAGATGAACCATACAGTAACATGCCAAATGCCCTTCACATAGACATCAATGTTCCACAACAACATGATAGTCAACCAGAACCTAGAAGGTCAGCAAGGAAGAGCTATTCTTTCTAAACTGAGTGACTACTATTGCCATTCCATGGTGGGAGATAATCAACTTTGAGATCCTCTCCTCATCCCATATAGAATTTCATTTCCTGTGAGAACTTGCCCCCTAACAAAAAAATCCTATGTTTCATCTATTACTTCAACACATGAACCACAATCTTATCATGAAGCAGTACAACATAATGAGTTGAAAGAGGCCATGCAATATGAAATTGATGCCTTGATTCAGAACAACACATCGGCTCTAATAGATTTCCCTAAGGGAAAATCACCTATTGGTTGTAGATGGGTATACAAAGTAAAGCATAAGGCAGATGGAACCATAGAAAGATATAAAGCCAGGTTAGTTGCTAATGGATACACTCAACAGTCAGGAGTTGATTACATTGACACTTTTTCTCTTGTAGCAAGAACGATAACCATTAAAACCTTCCTAGCTGTGGCTGTTGCAAAGGGCTGGGATATTCAGCAGCTTGACATCAACAACGCCTTTCTACATGGTGACTTGAATGACGAAGTTTATATGGTCTTGCCCCAGGTTTTAAAAGTGATAGTCCCAATCAAGTGTGTAAACTGTTAAGATCCCTATGTGGTTTAAAACAGGCTAGCAGGCAATGGAATGTAAAGTTAACAAAAGCTTTGCAAGCTCAAGGTTTTCAACAGTCCATAGATGATCCATCTTTGTTCACCAAAACTTCAGACAATTCTTTTGTTGCATTACTTGTGTATGTTGATGATATATTGGTGGCAGGTACAGATCCTGATCAGATCAAAGGATTAAAGCATATGCTAGATACATCCTTCAAAATTAAAGATATTGGCAACCTGAATTATTTTCTGGGAATTGAAGCGTTCAGGAATCTTAATGGCATTAGTCTCTATCAAAGGAAGTATACTTTGTAAATATTGAAGGAAAATGGTTTCTTACATGCTAAACCTGCTAAAACTCCCTGCACTCCAGGCTCAAGACTCAACAATACTGAAGGCACACTACTAGACAATCCTGAAATCTTTAGAAGGTTAGTTGGGAAGCTACTCTATTTGACCAACACAAGGCCTGACATTTCTTACAGTGTTCAGCAGCTCAGCCAGTTTGTTAATTAATAAGCCAAGAGACTCACATTTAGCAGCAGCACATAGAATACTGAGATATCTCAAAGGTTCTACTGGAAAATGACTCTTCTATTCCTCAAAATCCAGCCTTAAACTATGAAGTCCATTGCAGGCTACTGTATTTACCTTGTGGAGTCCCTTATATCTTGGAAGACTAAGAAGTAAGCCACTATGTCCAGTTCCTTATCTGAAGCAAAATATAGGGCTTTGGCTTCCACTGTCTATGAGCTTCAGTGGCTGTTCTACTTGTTGGCAAATTTGAAAACAGAAAACAAAAATCCCATTGCTCTATTTTGTGATAACAACTCAGCTGTGGCTATAGGGGAAAATTATGTGTTCCATGAACGTACTATGCACATTGACATTGATTGCCATGTAGTGAGGCAAAAGGTGCAAGAAGGAGTGGTGAAACTAGTGAGCATTCCTTCAAATAAACAACTAGCAGATGGATTCACTAAGGTTTTGCCTATCCCTTTGTTTGATATTTTTCATGCTAAGCTGGGCCTTCAGGATCTTCATGCTCCATCTTACCGGGGGGTGGGGGTAGGGGGTGTGACGAGCATAGCAGATGCACACGGCAGAACAGCTTGAGTTCTCTCATAGCTTTAAGGGCATTTGTGTCCTTTAGCATCAGTTAGTTATAACTGCCTTTCCCAGCAGTTTAGTTTAAAAGCTTTGTTTTTCCTTTTTTTTTTTATGTAACAAAAACACTATGCTGATCTCTGTAAAACTTTGGAGCTTTCAATTGACCAGAATTTTTCTTTCTTCCTTAATGTGATGCTCCATAGCTCATCGAATTCCAACAAGAAACTGTCCAAACTCCATTGCTGTACAAGAACCCCAGGGGACATATAACTTGGCATACTAGGAAATCCATGGCTCACAATTGGCATTTCTATGGAGATTTACTTCAACAACATTGAACATTACAATGATGAGCATTCACTGAAAAAACAAGTGCTCAACAAGCTTAATGATCTGTGGCCAATGCTATAATTTTCCTTCTTCACAAACTGTTACTCATAATTATATATATTTAAAAAAAAAAAAGAAGAAGCTAATTTGAAATCACTACAATTGATAACCCAAATAGAACTAGGAGGAACAACTTGGGCTAATAGCTTCGGTTTCTATTAAGTCATTTCAAATTTCAATAACTTGTTTGCATAAATTATTACTAAAATAAGTTTTTATTGCAATTTGCTGAAAATGAAATATATTGTAGCTTACTTTTTACCTATGGCTAATAATCTAAGATAAATTGCGTATTAGGTATAAGCAATCCCAAAAGTGTTAAGAAATAGTAGGTTGAAGCCACAAGATATTGGATTAAATCACAAAATATAAATAGCCTAGCTAGTACTAAATAATTTCTAATATGAGTAACTCAATAGTATTCACAGAGCATTGCAAATTATAACAAGAGCCACCTCTCCTTAGGCAATGGTGCAATCAGGCTTGCATGGAATGCTCTTAAGCTTGACCTCAATATTCAGCATCCTAGTGTGAATCACAAATTCACAATTGAACTAAATGTTCTATCATTTTCTGAACTGAATAGTCGAACTCATCGCATACAGATTGGCGGAGCATAATTGACTGAAAGAGTAAATACAGGCGGAGTTCCTCTGACTGTTGGAAAAATAGCTTAAAATGGAATAAAACGGCATGTTAAATGGCATAAAACGGCATGTTAAGTGGCTATTTTGTGGTACAATTATCAGTGGGGTCCACTTCCGATTTGAGTCGGGTTAAAGTGGATTCGGATTCTTCGTAGTGAGGCGAAGAGATCGATATATTGTACGCTCAAAACGGATAATTGGTGAATGAGATATTGATTCCCCAAAGTAGACCCATTTGAGTTGGAAAGTGAAGGGAAAAAAGTGGCTTTTGTCCCACATTGCTTTGGAATGAAGATTTCCCCCCCTTATATACAAGAGCTCTTTTGAAGCTTGTAGAATTGTATAGCATAGAGGCTTTTTTGCGGGTGGGAGGGGGGGGGGTGTGTAAATCAAATTCCAACTAGCAGAGATTGCAAAAGGCTTAATTCAAGCCTGAGCTCGTGCGCGCCGGCACCTGGGGGCACGAATGTGCTAAGTTATGCCAAACTTTGGTACCATTTTTCCAACACAGAGAGCCACGAGGTTTCGGCCACCTGAGGCCTTGGCCGAAACTTGCGAGTTTCGGCCTGGTGCCCGAAAGTTTGGCCTTTTTGTGGCTAAACTGAAGCTCCTTCTGTGACTGTTGGGGTTTAAATTCAGCTGTTACGGAGTTAATTCTTTGGAATTAATTCCAATTTTAATTTTGAATTAAAACTCAAGGTAGTGGTTGCTGTTACAAGAGTTGTGGGGGTGCTTTTTAATGCCAAAATAAAAGCTATTTAACTCCTTGATCCCTATATAAGAGAGGGTAGTGAGAAGCAGTTTTACACACAAAAAGAACAACAAGCACACTACACGAAACTTTGTTTTTCTAGCCTCAAAATTCTTCTTCTACTCTTTCTTTAGCTATACTGTGTTCATAGACATTCTCTTGCTCGCCGGATTCTTTGTTTGAATGCTCAAACATTGGATCATAGCAAGTTTTATCCTGGGAAGCCTAGGCCACAACGCTCCTAGCATCTTTGGGAGGTGGCAAATAAGGTTTTAAGGAAAGAGTGCTTACTCGACTCTTGCAAAATTCCAACACCAAACACGAACCAAATTTCTTCATCTTTTCTTCCCTTCTTTCCAGAAAATAATAGTCAATTTTATTTGATTATTATTCGTTTTCCTACCAACGGTTCCAAACTTTAGTGGCACTGCCAATTTTAATCCTCAACTTTTAAATCAACCACTTTTAGTCCTCTTACTTTTGTTTCTAGCCATCTATGGTCCTTTCGTTAAACTTGACCATCTAATGCTGTTTTCTAAAAGATAATTAAGTCTTTTCATAATTAATTTATTAATTATTATGTTTAATTTTCACATCAGAATAGTCAAACAATGGTTTCCTTAACTATGAACGTGCACTAAACCAGCTCGTGAATCAAAATGACGTACAAAAGCTGGTATGAAGGTTGTGCCAAAACGACGTCGGAATATCTCGCTATGACTTAGCAAACACAATAATTAATAAATTAATTATGAAAGGACTGAATTATTCTTGAGAAAACGGCATTAGATGGTCAAGTTTAATGGAAGGACCATAGATGGCTAGAAACAAAAAGTAAGAGGACTAAGAGTGATTGATTTAAAATTTAAAGACTAAAAGTGGCGGTGCCACCAAAGTCAGAGGACCTCCGCTGGTATTTACTCTTAACTGAAAGTATAATTACCTGATCCACGACATAGAAAATCTCTCATGATAACGCTTTCCAACACTGATGATTTCCCAGAACTCTAATCAACAAACAAAAATTGAGAAAACAAACTCGCGTAGGAACGAAAATGTCCTTGAAGAAAAAGTGGAGATGTAGTGACCTGGCCTCTA